TAACCCACCTCACCCCCACCACCCCACGGTCCCTCGCCACCTAACCCCTCCCCCACGGCACCCACGCTCCCCCTTACCTACCCCCCCACGGCACCCACGCTCCCCCCCGCACCAACCCGTTCCCATCCCCCCACTCCCGTGCTCCTCTCGCATCCGATTCAATTTTCTCATCCCAGCGCTCCCATCGGTGTTTCCCTTTAACGCGCGCTCCCGCCAGACCCCTCCACCCCCGCACCCGCTCGCTTGTCATTTTCTCCTCCCCCTCTGAGAACGTGCGCGCGAGCCCGCTCCTCCCCCGAACTGCCAGCTCCGGGCTCATTGGCTGTCGGGAGCGCGCGCGCGGCGGGGTCGGGTGCGCGCGGCGGCAGCTTCACTTCTCTTCGGGCAGCGGCGGCGGCAGCAGTAGCCGAGGGGGCAGCACGCAGCCCCCACCCCTCGCCTGGCCCGAGCCGGGCCGCCCGTCCACCGTGCAGCGCAGCGCCCGCAGCCTGAGTCGGCACCAGCCCTAGCCCTGCACCCGCTCGCCCACAGGTAACGCCCCCCCTCTCCCTACCGCCCCCGGCACTGCCTGCTCCGTCCCCCCCAGCACTGCCTGCTCCCCCCGCTTCATTCCTCTAACCCCTCCCCCGGCACCACATCCTCCTGCCCCATCCCTCTCCCACCGCACCCCACCCAGGGCATCGCCTGTTCCCTTGTGCCCTCCTGCCCCTCACCCATCCCTTTTATCCCCAGCAATACCTGCCCCCATCACTTTACACCCCCCACATCCAGCTGCCCCCACCACTGCCTGTGCCCTCCACCACATCCCCCTGCTCTTCCCAGCCCTCTGTCCCATTCCCCTACCCTGGCACTGCCTGCCACCCCCACATCCCTCTGCCCCCATGCTCTGTTCCTCTACTCCCCTGGCACTGCCTGCCCCCCAACCTCCTGCTCCCCCTGCCTGGTTCCCCTACGCCCTGGCACCACCACCTCCTTCCTAGCCCATTCCTCTACTTCTCCCCCCCCCGGCTACTCCAGAAGCACTTGTCCCCCTGCTCCCTTGAGCCCCCCACCCCATCCCCTTTCCATAGTCCCATCCATCCCTATGCCCTTGCCACCTCTTCTCATCCTATCCCCCCGCCCCATCCATCCTTCCCCAGGTCCCCCAACCATAGCCCCACTGATCCCTACATTCTCCCTACCCTCTCTCCCCAGCATAGCCCCATCCATCTGTTCTCCCACCCTTACCACATTCCCTGACCTGTCCATCTGTCCATCCCTGTGTCCCCCAGCCAATTCTGTCTATCCATCCTCATGTCATCTGCCCCAGCTACATCCATCCCACAGCTCCCCAAATTCCTCATGTCCCCTCTATCACTTCTATCACATCCACCTGCCCTCTGGCACCCCACCACATCTCATTGTAATAGCCCCATCCATCCCCCTGCCACCCCTCTCCCCCATCGCATCCCCTGACCTAGCCCCATCAATTCCCCCTTTTCCACCCCCTCCACCACATCCATCCTGCCTCTGTTCCTCTCCCAGGGTCCTAGAAATGCCTTCTCTCAAAGTCTTTCTACAAGAATACCTGCATCTTCCAGCAATACCTCCTTCACTGTTCCCTATAATACTTCTATCTCCTAGAAATACCTTTTTCTCCTTAGTACCTTGTTCTTAAACACCCCTTATCCTCTCTCTGCACTCATGCACAAACACGTAGAGGGGTCAAATAATTCTATCCCCCATTATCCCCTTATCTCCCAGTTATCACTGTTATAACCCCTTGCCCCCAAGGAGTGGGATGAGGAGCAACCTCTTCCCCCCCTTCCAGAAATACATAAGGATGGGAATTAGTAAACACAAGTAAGGACTGGTTTCAGAGTAAGGAATTCTACCCTATGCAACAGCCCCCTCTCTAGCAGAAATGGATCTAAACCACCCCACTGCACAATGACAGGAGCAAAGTAATCCCTTAGCTCATTTTGTCCAACCCCCATCTCTTCCTCATATAACCCCTGTGCCTTTCTTACAAAGTCTTCTCCTTCCGTCATCCACTGTCACCTATTTCTCACCCCTAATCCTTTTCCTTCCAACCTCTCTCTTTCCACCTTCTCCCTACCCCTTTCCTCCTCCACACAAAGTATCTGGAAAGTGCAGGATAAATGTCCTTTTGAAAAGTGCCTGTTTCAGTCTCCTGCTATCTTCTAGTACTGCATAATTATTGCACATTGTGTCTCTATGACATGTGCCTCCCCCTCCCCCTCCAGGCAGCAGGAAAATAGGCGAGGGGTGTGTGTGTGTGTTTCAGTCTAGAGCTGCAGCAGCAGCAGCAGCTTTTTATTTCTTTCTGGGTTCCTCTCTCAACCATAGACACTGGCCTGGCTGGCTAGCAATCGGACTCCTCCTGTTTTCTCTCCTGTAATGTTTTGATCTTTTCGCCCTTTATTGTTTCTAATGAAGATCAAGTGAGGTGGCTGCTCCTGCTGCTTCTTTTCATGAACCCAGCAGAAAAGTTCAATTTATCTTTGCTTATAGGAATTAAGGCAGCTTTAGAAAGACCTCATCTCTGCTCAGCTGCCCTCAGGACCTATCTGCACATTGCCAGGATCTCTTTCCCTAGCTGCTACTGTTTGTTTGGATTTTTGGGGTGGGTGGGAGGGGAAGGGGAAGCATGGGATAAATGGAAGAAGTAGGTTCTGTTGAACATGTTTGACTTAAAATTTATAGATGGGGGTTTGATACCAAGGTCTCTGAAGAATCATGATGTGTTCAGGGAAATACTTTTAATCCCCCCTTCTGTTCCCTCCATCCAGTTCTCTCAACACAAGGGCAGCAGAGGGTTTAAATTTTGAATGTGGCATAATTTAGAAGTCCAGAGAATTGGACACAGTCTTTTGCTTTTCTCTTTGCACTGAGACAAGTCTTTGGGGATATTTGGCTTCAAGAAATATTTTGTGTATGTGTTTGTGTAATTGCACTGAAATGTTTTCCCACAATGTCATTCCCCCTGTTGATGTTTCTACTCTCTTGTTGTTCCTTGTTTTTCTTATTTTGGCCACATATTTGAAGCAGACCCTTTTAAATATCCTTTTATCGAGGTTAAATTTAGCTTTCAATCCTTAAATAAAATATAACTTGATTTTTATTTAAAATAAAAGGGAGAGTATGGAAAATATTTGTCTCTGAGAGAGCAAAATAAGAAAATATCCAGACATTAAATGACAGATTTAAACATTTTCATGTTGTAAAAGCTGGCATTACTTGTTACAGTAATTATACACTATGGGCTACTGTTTCTGCATATATTTGTTGGGTAGTAACCTGAACTCATGAAGTGAGTACAGCAGTTCTTGGATAATAGTAATATTTATAGCAGAATCATCCACAGCAGACCTTCTGTGGACATAAGCTTCATTAAAAAATGTTGTCGGTTTTTTTTTTTTTGGCCATCAGTTATAAAGTATACCTATGTTGTGTGGATAATCCTCTCATTCTAAAATTAAATGTTAATGGAAGATCAATATCCGAACTTGCAGGGCAAATAAAGAATATCTCAAATGTTTTAAGGAAATATTAGATTGTTTTACCTCTGTATAGAAACAGAAAATATATCTCTATGTAGCTACAAAGTCAAAATGTGCATTTAATAATTGTATGCAGTGTAGCTGTAGCAATATTGGTCCCAGGATGTTGGAGAGACAAGGTGGGTGAGGTAATTTCTTTTAGCATGTCTCTCACCAACAGAAGTTGGTCCAATGAAAGATATTACCTCGCCCACCTTGTCTCATTTAATAATTGTAACTCAATCTTGAAACTATCGGTATATACAGTAGCTTGTTTATTAATTTAAAGCTTTATTTTTCTCCCTTAAGACTTGACAACTGGGATGTAGATGCCTAAAGATTAACCTGTGTAAAATGTGAAATATGGAAAAGACAATGTTATGTCTCTGCTGTAGGAAAAAATTAAGAAATAAAATAATTGTTTACTCTTAACTGGAGAAGTCAAATAATGCATCATTTTCCATTCTTAAATGCACCACTAAGTCTGTACAATACAACCATTTCCATAATCAAAACAAAAAAAAAGAGCTGATACTGATTAAGGCTAATCTAATCTAGCTTCCAACATCATCAACTGGTGTTCTCTCTAAGAATTCTGAATCCCAACCCTCCAAACCTTAACTGCTTTGATAAACAGTCATATAAATTAAGCAAAGGGACTTAATTTATATGAAAGTCATTAGGATTTATTCACATGAATAATACAGTATCGGGCCCTCATTGGAGGCCATTATTTAAGCAACGTGTATACTGTTTTTGATAAATTTAAGATTTTGGTAATGCTCCTAACTGCAGAAAATTCTTTTTTTCAGTATGCAACTATAACAATTTTTGGACCTTTGTTTGCTTTACTTTATTTTTATTTCTTCCAATGCCACCTCAGTGACACTGAAGTTTGTTCTTCTTTCCACTGCCCTCTTTCCATATATGTGCTGGCAATACTGTCTGGATAGAAGATTTGCATCTTAATGTTCAGTTACAAACTATTAATAAACTTTTAGTGGGTTATATGAGCAAATTATCACAAATTTTACATCATATTTTTTAGAACAGGGGTTCTCAAACTTCATTGCAGTGCAGCCCCCTTCTGACAACAAATTACTACACAACCCGTGAGGGGGGACTCCTGAGCTCCACTGTCCTGTGTGGCAGTGGCAAAGTCTGAGGGCTTAAGCCATAGGTGGGGGAAGGGGTCTGTAGCCTGAGCCCCACCACTCAGGGATAAAGCCCTCGGGCTTCGGCCCCAGGCGGTGGGGCTTGGGCTTTGGTCCCAGCAAGTCTAACGTCAACTCTCGCAACCCCTTTAAATGGGGTTGCGACCCACTTTGGGGTCCTGACCCACAGTTTGAGAACTGCTGTTTTAGAGTCAAGAGTCTGGAATCCTGATTTAGGCTCTTGAGAGAAAATTGCAGCATATTATAATTGAGATGTACAGTTTTCTGTAACTGGTGTTCTGCTTATGGTTTCTGTATATGGCTAAAAGGATAAACGAGACAAAGTTCACAGACTAAAAGAATTTTGAACATAAACCTCATCGTGCACTGTAGGTCAGATTCTGATGTTAATTACATCTGTACAATTCCACTGAGTTCATGTAGGTTGCACAGATGTAACTGAGCAAAAGTTGGCCCTATGTGTTGTTAAAGTTGTTCTTTTAATAAAATATCACAAAGAAAACATAGTGATGTCACTGAGGTAAAGAAGGGCCTTCTAGTGTTGCTTCAGATTTCTTATAGATTCAGTTAGCAATCGTTGCCACTGCATCTGGCAATCTTAGATCTAACCCCCAAGAAAAAGCCTTAATTTACAACAGAAAAGTCATAATATTAATTACAACCATTTTAATTTAAACAGTCTATAGTTGAAGAAATGCAGTGATTAAAGTGAAGGAAGAAAAGAAGAATATAGCTAAATATTACAAGTGTGAGAACTAGGCATATAAAATATATTGAGATAAAGTTAGATTTCTTGGTGACTAGTGTTCATTGACAGATTTATAGTCTGATGTCCTCTGCTCACAAACAGGCTTCAGCAGTGCAGATTTCCTTACGTTTCCCCACCAATGTGCTTACTCCCTGGTGTGGGAGTATCATCTCTAGCTACGAAAGATAGGTTAGGCTTAAAAGGACATTCTTCAAGGGGGCCAACCAAAATGTGAATTCTATAAAGTGGAAACCCATCCACTAGGAGTTGGAGTTAGCCCAGACTTTTTACGTGTGGGCTAATGAATAGTCTTAAAATAGTAATGACTGCCAGTTACTAACAAAAGGGGCCTGATTTGAACCAGTGTCCTAGAGGTGAAACACTTCATCCCATCACCAATCCATTGAGCTATCCACTCCATTAACACTGGATTGTCTTACTCATTCTGTTTTATTTTCCACTTACCCAGAATAAATGGTATCTCCCTTTAGATATTTTTCATATATGTAAAAGGGTTTTTCATATTTTGTTCTATCCTTTTTAGTTGGTGTAAAATGACTATCTTTTGCGTTACTGTATAGACATTTATGGCTAGATTCTTCAATACTGCAGACTAAAATGCTGCAATATAAGGAGTACTGTATTAAGCAAGTGATTTTTTTCATCCTGTTTATCTCTTTTTAAAAAAAAAAAGTCAGTAACGATACTATGCTATCAGACATTTTAAGAAAAGACTCCTTACTCGCCTTTGTCTTTTTTAGCCCAGAGTCTAAAATGTCCACTGAAGGGCAAAGAGTTGATGATAGCCCAAGCACTAGTGGAGGCAGCTCTGATGGAGATCAACGTGAGGGTGTTCAGCAAGAGCAAGAAAGGGAGCAGGTTCAACCCAAGAAGAAGGAGGGCAAGATCTCTAGCAAAACAGCCGCTAAACTATCAACTAGTGCTAAAAGGTACCCTGCTCTTTGTAGTCTTTTGGATGGGCATCAGCCTAATTAATTTTCTTAATGTTTTATTACAATATGATTGAATCTGTACATTAGTTCTTTGGGGTCGAAATGTGACCTGTATGCTGCTGTTTCATTTATTTATTTGACAGACTGGTTTGTTTTCACCTGGGTTTAATATTAGCTTGCATGATAGAAACTGACACTGTTTTATTCTTAGTATAACTCAGACAGTTTTTTGTATTCTTATGAAGTGTGTGTGTGTGTGTGTAAGAAAGAGAGAGAAACTTGTCAGTGTAACTTAGAGTTAATTAACCATAAACATTTCAGACAGGTCAGTAATTCAGCGTGCTAGGAGACTACTGTAATACCTATCACTACAAAGTACTGCATTTTCTTGTCCCAGATGGTCAAGTCAGAAATGATGGAATGAACAAATGTGTTTTTGTTTCATTACATTAAACTGTGGTATGTCTTAATTCTGTTTTTGTTTTTTCCCCTTCCTGAGAGGAATGGTAGATTTGGAAAATAGTTATTTAAGTGACTCCACGCTGTCACATCAGTCACTGGTTCACTGGCATGTCTGGACTGTGCAGAGGAAGCCTGCATTAACAGTGTAGCTCTGTCACATCAGCATTACTTTAGGCAGCAATGTTCAAAACCTATTAAAGGGAACCCATATACAATACAAATTTAAAAGAGTTCATGTAGAACCCAAATGTGCAGACCTAATTCGCGTAGGACTCTGAGCCTGATTCTTCACTAATTTACACCAGTCTAAATTAGGAGTTACTGTTGTAAAACTAGTATAAAAGAGAAGAGAATCAGGCCCCCATTGCGTTCATTTGGAGTTTCCTGTAAATGTGGTATGTAGCACCAGGCTGCAAATACTAGTGTGTGTACATTTTAATTCATACATTTTACCTTACCTTGACAGTATATAATTTATTTGTACCAGGCTCACAGATCTAAACCTCCCTACGTATCCCCTCCTGTATCTTAATGAGTCACTCTCCATCCTGCCAGTGATGCCAGTATTGATCACTCATTTTGTCCATTTCTCTGTATCTTCATGCTTTCATTTTATTCAAAGATAATCTTCCTTTATGTAGTCTGTGGAGCCAATGCCCTCTTCCCTCACCTGCCTTTCAAATCTTTCCTCAAGGTCCACTTCTACCATGATGCTTACAGAAGATTATCTAGCCATTATCAGTTGGCAGAGGATCAGTGGGGATTACTAATATCTAACTTTTAATATTTTATAACTAAAGGGAGAAGAATGACTGTCAATAACTTAGAGCTATCAAATTGTGCAAATACCTGGTCTTTGTAGTTGCTTCTACTTCTAACCTTGCCCATGCTGACAAATCATCTCCTATTGTTACATCTACTTGTTGTGTCTTGTAGCCTTTTTAGAACACAGCCTGCATATAGGAATATATGTTTGTACAGTGTCTAGAACAATGATACCATGATTCTGACTGGGGCCTGTGGACACTACTGTATTAAAAAAATTAATGATAATGTCAGAAGTTGGGCTATTATTCTTAGTTTTGTGTCTTCAAAGCTTAGAGCTCTTATTAACATGCATTTAGCAATGATAAAATTACTTAAACCTTTTAAAATTTAATCATATCTGCTTGTGGTTTCTGCTGAAACTAATTATTCCAATTGCAGACAGATACGTTTGCCAATCAGACTATAACACAGCAGTTTTATATGTATAGTAATATTAAAAAAAAATTATGAATGTGAAAGTAGAAATGTTTTCCAAGAACTATGCTTCTTGAAAGTGTTTGGCTATGTTTAATATATTTATAGTTTAATATTTCTGTAAAGTAGTAAGAGACTTATTTAGATATTAGTCTTATCAATATTGGTAACTGCATAGTCACTTCAGTTAAAGTTGTTTCTACTTTCTTATCCAAACCCCATTTTCAATGGGTTGTAACTCCGCTTACTAATTATTTAGGCTGAAAATTTAATATACAAGTTCTTAGCTTGATAAGGTAGCTGTTTGAAACATATGTGAAAATCATTTGGAATGTTTTAAGAATATGGGGAAGAAAGTAAACTCCTAAAGTGTCCTGTTGCCTTTTTATTTACCACTTGCAAGGAGTAGCTTTGGGGGAGAAAAAGGAAATTTGAAAGGTACTTACCTCTCAATATGTGATATTAAGACAAACACCTTAGAGCAGTGGTTTTCAAACTTTTTTTTCTGGGGACCTAGTTGAAGAAAATTGGTGGTGCCTGTGACCCAGTGAAGCTGGGTATGAGGGGTGTGGGAGGGGCTCAGGGCTGGGGCAGAGGGTTGGGATACGGGTGTGAGGGCTGCAGGGTAGGGCCAGGAATGAGGGGTTCAGGGTGTGGGAGGGGGCTCTGGGCTGGGGCAGGGGGGCAGGGTGCAGGAGGGGGTCAGGGCTCTGGGCTTGGGGTGCAGGCTCTGAGGTGGGGCTGAGGGTGAAGGGTTTGGGGTGCAGGAGGGGCTCTGGGTTGGGGGGCTTAGGGCTGGGGCAGAGGGTTGGGGTGCAGGAGGGGGTTGGGTGTGGGGGTCAGGGCTCTAGGCTGGAGGTGCAGGCTCTGGGATGAGGCCAGGGATGAGGGGTTTGGGGTGCAAGAAGGGGTTCTAGGTTTGGGGGGGCTCAGGGTTATGGCAGGGGATTGAAGTGCAGGGTTGGGGCATGAACTTACCTCTGGCGTCTCCTGGTCAGTGACGCAGCTGGGATGCAGAGGCAGGCTTCCTGCCTGTCCTCACACCATGGACTGCGCTGCACCCTGGAAGTGGCTAGCAGCAGCAGGTCTGGCTCCTAGGCGGAGGCATGCAAGCAGCTCTGCAGGCACCGCCCCCCCAGCACCCATTGTCTGGGAACCGTTCCTGGATTGTGGAGACAGTGCTCGGGGCAAGGGCAGCACGCGGAGTCCCGTGGCCCCCCTGCCTAGAGGCCAGACCCGCTGCTGCCCGTTTCCAGGGCGCAGCTCAGTGTCGGAACAGGTAGGCACTAGCCTGCCTTAACTGGGCAGCACCACCGACGGGACTTCTAACATCCTGATCAGCGGTGCTGACCAGAGCCGCTAGGGTTCCTGGGTGCTGAGCAAGGCGACCCAGTGCCTTACATGCTGCAACCCAGTACTGGGTTGCGACCCGAACTTTGAAAAACTCTGCCTTAGAAGGTGTTTCTGTAAACACAACTTAATAGGACTGCTTGCAGGATTAGAGGTTTAGCAGTTTACTTGAAATTTTCATCTCTTCAAAAATAATAGTGAGTTTTTTACCAGTTGATTGTGAAGAAAGACTGCACAAATATTTTGCGGAAACCAATTTCTGTTCTCTGTTACGTACACGTAACCCCACTGAATCCAGTCGTTACTCTAAAATCCCAATAATGTTTGCATAATGGAGGACAGAATTTAATCCAGTAACTGTTTTTAATAACTCTAAAATAATTCAGGAATCAACACAATTGAAATTAGTAGAATAATTTAAAGCATCCAGATTTTACATGCATTATAGTTATTAGACAGCACTGGAAAACTAATACAAGTCTGGAGCTTAGTCTTATTTCAAGTGCTAAATTATAGTCTACAGACTGCAGACTTCATTCTGATCTGAGTTTGGAAGTCATGCATTGTCACACACTTGAAAAATCTATTCGCGCATGTGAAAGTGTAGTAGCAATCTCTTTTTAGATACATTATCCTGAATAATTACCCTGTGTATCTCAGATTATAATTAAGATCTAAGGAATTGTAATATGAGTTTTCTTGCTGTGTGTTATAAATTTGAGACTAAAAGTAATTTTACTTATAAAAGTCACTTCAGCAATATTAGTTTTTTTTATATAAATCAATAGAAGGAAATGTTCAGTTACGTGTGAAATGTGCTCCAAGATGTTCTATAATATATATTCTCTGTAGGGTGCCACCTTGGCAATTTAATGCTCCCTAAAATGGCTTGATTTTGAGGGAAGGGAGAGGCATTTTGTGCTTCGCTGTATTCCTGCGTTTTTTTAGTTTGTGTAGCATTATCAACATTCTTTTAATTAGTTTTTGGTGGTTAATTTAATTGCAAATGTTGCAGTCATAGGATGTTCATCTTACTTCGATGAGTTTTCTTCTGTCAGTATTCTGTGTTGACTTGTATTTCAATTTTTCCTTCTTTTTTCTCTTTTCTCCTCACTCCCATTTAGTGGGTTTCTTTGTGTGGTTCCAGTAGAAGAGTGATAAGTTTGGGATATGTGGGTCAGCTGATAAGACATCTAAGATGCCCAGAAACCATAGCTATTAGTGCGATAGAAGTACCTGGATAGAACAGAATTTTATTGCAAGTAGCCTTTTGCTTCCTTAGACGGAATGTTGACCAGTAACTAAGGTCTGATATTGTTTAAAAAATATAGGCTTTCTGCTATTCGCATCAGTGGAAGTACTGACTTAGATGGCATCAAAAAGGCAGAATACTATTGAAACCTTTCATATTGCAGTGTCCCTTGATGTGAATGCGTCTAGGGCTAGTTGATACACAGGTAATAGCTTACAGTATACAAATCATATTATGTACCATTCCTTCAATTTGCTTTACCCAGGGGGTGTTACCTTAAATAGTAATCTTCCTTACCTAACGTGTCAGGATTGAAAAACTCACTGCATATCATAATTACAGTTCAGACATGAAACTGAATTGCTGTCCTTAAAAAGAGAAGGCATCTTATGTCTTAAATAGCAAATCTTAGCACGACCTTTGGATTGAGAGAAGTGTATCCGTTCTTGCTTAGCATAATAGCTTAACAGATAGAAATATTATTCTGCTGGGCTCTCTGCTCTTGAGGTTGCTAGTTTAAAACCTGTCATTTTGTCTTTGGTCTGCAAATTTTTATGTTGAACTGTGAATTTATGAAACTGAATTATGTAGCCTTTTGTTCCTGGAAAGATATTAAAACATCAACTAAGTCATGGATATTTTGTTTGTTGAAATACAATCATAGAGAAGTGGGCCATCCATAACCTTTCTAAATAACAGAGAGGGTTGCCATAATATAATAGTATTTTAAGTAAATTTGGCAACAAGTATTCTACTTGATAAGCCAAAAGTGACAGACAAAATACTGAAAAAGGAAAACAACTCCATGATTTTTTTTAAGTTGGCATTTATAAGTATTCTTAATATATTCTGTTCTCCTGCTTCAACAGTCATTCTTAGTTCAATTTCCAAGGACCCTATTCTGTCACAACTTTTGAAAGAATGAAATATATAATAGGGTTTGCCCTGTTTTAAAATGTGGTCTAAATTTTCTCCAATCTGGGTTTTTGGGTTGCCTAATGTTTATGTGAAGGGAGGCACATAACCCAGAAAAATGGAAGCGATAAAATGAGCTTCTAGGAAAAATGACTACATGCCAATAAATAGCAGGACCTGAGCCTCTCTAATGTATTCAGTCCTCAATATTTTCCTCATAAAAATGCTACAGAGTCCTTACTTTACAAGTGACAGCAAGCAATCGTGCTAGTCTTACAGCAATAGTTCCCCACAGCCTCATATTTATTAATATTTGACAGCACTTTTAATTTTGAAAAAGCTTGTCCTAGATTAGCTACTCCTTTCAGGCTTGATCAGTATTTTCCACATCTGTAAAATGGGGGAACACGGAGAGAGAGGTTGTGACTTTTCTAAGACCATAAAAGGAGCATATGAGTGACATTGCAAATTCGGTGTTCCTGGTACCCAGTCCTGGATTCTGACTACTAGAACATGCTTCTCTCTCACCAGTCAAATAACATAATAGTACTTAATAAAAATAAAACAAATGTATATTTTCATTTTTTATTATATAATATAGCCTGGCATTGCTTAATATAAATACATTTTGGGCAGAAAATCTGTTGGCAACAAAATCCATAGGGATAGTTGCCAAGGGGGAGGAAGGAAACGGTGTGGTTTCTGAGGGATACTTCAGAGGCTACAGCAATCTGTGTATTGGTTCCTGTGCCTCTGGTGAGTCTGGATTATCCACTCCACTCTCAGGTGTTGTAGCTCCACTGAAGCCATGCTACTAGGGTTTCCTACCATTGAAGGGTCCCTGCAGAATAGGTTATACTGCTAGAGTCTGTATATCCTTTACTAACTCTGTGGTGTTTATCGTGAACAAGGAATGATGTGCCTCCCCTCCATTGCCTGTTTCTGAAATGAGTTCACCAGGGAGACTGTAAGAGTATTAGCAGCACTACCACGGTCTGTGTGTAGTAAGGGTGATCTACATGTAGGAGACCATTAATATAGGGACTTTGGGGACATGATCTGGTCACTTACATGCAATTTCAACCATAAAATACAAATACAGTCGGTATTTATATTTCAAACGTTTGCTACTGTAACACATGTTCAGGACTTAAATACAAGGTAGCATGCAGTTTCATTTTGATGGCTAGTTGTGCAAGGTACTGTGATTTCTTCCCTCCACCTCATCCCCAATGAAATTCTTGCTTCTGCTCATCTTTTAGGGGCCAGCAAAAGCAAAACAAATAGCAGTTAAGACAATTAAGCACAAATATTCCCATGTTTGTCCTAACAGCATCTTTTAAAAAAATCAGATCTATCGACATCAATCTGAAGACCCTAATCATTGTACTAGGGCCTGATACGGGGTGAGGGCAGGAGAGACATCCACAACTTTCCCTCTTCGTTCTGGAAAGAAGGGGAGGAGGTTAGATGTGGAAGGATACTGAAAATGGAAGATTTGTAGTTTAGGACATGGGGCAACGTCTGTTCTCATTCTCTTCTTGATGTTTCATACACCTCATGATATGATCAAGTATCAGCTGCTGTATATAGGTGCTCAAAGTGAGGATGTAGTCCAGGGATTGGCAAACTACAGCCCACCAGCCATTTTAATCTGGCCCTCGAGCTCTTGCTGGGGAGCAGGGTCTGGGGCTTGCCCCGCTCCAGTGGGGAGCAGGGTGGGGGGCCACTCCACACAGCTCCCGAAAGCAGCGGCATAGCCCCCCTCCATCTCCTAGTGTAGGGGCATCCAGGGCGCTACGCTCTTCATGCTGCTTCCACCCAAAGCGCTGCCCCTGCAGCTCCCATTGGCTGAGAACCATGGCCAATGGGAGCTGCATGGGCGGTGCCTGCGGACAGGGCAGTGTGTAGAGCTGCCTGGCCGCACCTCCGCATTGGAGCTGGAGAAGGGACATGCCACTGCTTTCGGGAGTTGCTTGAGGTAAGCGCCACCCAGTGCCTGCACCCCTGAGCCTCCCCCCATGTCCCACCCCCCTGTCCCAGCCCTGATCCCCCCCCCTCCCACCATTCAAAGCTCTCGGTCCCAGCCCGGAGCACCCTCCTGTATTCCAAACCCCTCCTCTCCAGCCCCACCACAGATCTTGTATCCGCAGCCGGAGCCTGCACTCCTTCTTTCACCCCTGCCCCAGCCCTGATCCCCCTCTTCTGCCTGATGAACCCCTCAGTACCAGCCCAGAACACCCTTCTGCACCCCAAATTCCTCATCCCCAGCCCCACCCCAGAGCCCGCATCCCCAGTTGGAGCCTTTACCCCGCATCCCATCCTCCCGCCCCAGCATGGAGCCCCTTCCCGCACCCTGAACTCCTAATTTCTGGCCCCAACCCGGAGCCCGCACCCCCAACCGGAGCCAAACCCCAATTTTGTGAGCATTCATGGCCTGCCATACAATTTCTATTCCTAGATGTGGCCCTTGGGCCAAAAAATTTGCCCACCCTGGTGTAGTCCCAGATGTGGTGCATTTTCAGTGGCATTCTGAAACTTGCCAGAGAGAAAAATACATATACCACAAAACTGAAGGAGATTTCTATGTTCCATAAGCGTTCACGTGATCTAAATGAGGGAATGTGTAAATTTTGTAAGCAAAATAGGATTTTATATAATTTTGAACTGGAAAAAGGATATTTTAAGTATGGAACTTTTTTTAGGGGATAAAAGTAAAACAAGTACGCTTTTAATACTTAAAGGTGGGGAGAAGGTGAGAGAGAGAGATGTCTAGCAAATATTTTTTTTTTTAAAAATGGTAGTGTTTGGTATGTTGACCCACTTAAATTTCTCATATTTTCTTTTTTTTTTAAAGTGGATTTTTTTTTTTTTGCATTTCTCTAATTACTTTTTTCCAAATATCAGTTAAAAAATTTTAATTCACGGTTTTTAATTGAGGTAGATATTGTCTATTGAAATATAATTAAATACACAATATAGTGAAGTATTTACATTCTCTAGCAATTGGAATCATCAAACCTATTTCATTTCTCTCCCTGCGCAGAAGCATCTTGCAAATTTCCCCGCAACCCCATATACACATGTGCACACGCATCCTCCCCAAGTTATTTGAGAATAGGACTAATATAGGAGGTAGCATTTTATTTTTGGCTGGTTCCTTTACCTTCTTAGGCTACAAACAAACAAATGAATCACAAAATGCATTCTTAATGGAACAAGGGGAGTATTGATAGTGGCTTTGGCCCAGTTTTTAAAAAGGTATTTAGTCATTGCTGTGCTGAGCATTGCCTAACTGTTTTAGAAAACTCAATCTCATTTTCAAAAGGGATATAGACACTGTTGATGGAATTGAAACGTGTTGTTTGAAAATGAGATTTATGTTACTAAAGCTCCTAGGAGTTGTGGTGATAAGTGCACCAATGCCTAAATACTTTTAAGAATCTGGGCATTTGAGATTATCTTCCACATCCAGGACTGCATTTAGACCTTAATATTATGTTTAGAATTAGAATAAATTGCTTATTTTTATCTTAAGTGCTCTAATATACCTGAATGTTTACCTTGGGGAAATCAATTTCTTTACTCATGCTTGTGTATAGAATATGTGGTGGCAGCTTATAACAAGATACACATGTGCCTTAGGCTAGGCTTGAGCTCTGTGGCTAAGATTTAGCATGTATCCTGGGGAAAGGTAATTTGGTCACTCCAATTTTCTTCATTGAGGTGATAAAAAGCAATGGATACCTGCTTCTTTAGTCCAGATCTTTGGAAGGGGGGAGAGCATTCAGTAATGTTGAATTATTCCTTTTTACCCCTGGATGCTGCAGAAAACTCTCCAGGCTGTGGTTGAACACCTTTTGTAGTCACGTTTTGGATGGACGTGACTAGGTTTACAGGGTGTGTGGTCTGGAGAGTCTCTATGGATGGCATGCTACCCTGCCAAATCTATAGGAATTTTCTCATCTAAACTGGTGGTGATTCCTAAACTGATGGGTAGACTCCTGCTTTACACTTTTAAATTCATTTGGGGGAAGAGGAATGGTTTGGCCCAGCACATGTGCAGAAGATAAAGAAATGTAATGCCATAAATGATAATTGTGCTACAGTTCCGGGACATGGCATAGGGGTCCACCCCTCACTACGATGTGCCAAACTCTGTGAAATTCTCAGTTCTTGGGTTATCTGAGACTGTTTTCAGAGCTGCTGGGTACTCAGCACATTTGAAAATCAGCCTATGAAGTCTATATCTTTAGACCCCTAATTTTTCAAAATATTGGTCAGTTTTTTTCAATGTATGCATTGCCTTACCATAATAGGCCTGTCCATGGACATAATCTGGTTCTTTTATGAGGTTGGTTCATTCGGCATCCTTTCTGACAAAACACTGGTAACGATTTTTAAGATCTACAAGCCAGGTCTGACTAGATGGTGTGCACACCCCCCGCCCCCCCCCCAAAAAAGTGTTTATGTACATTTGGTTGGGTTCAAACATATAAAGGACCAAATTTACTCCCAACAGAACTGGGTGAACTTAAAATTAAAAACTTAACACCAAAAAATAAAAATAAAAAAAAAATAGACATTGCAGCCTGACTTTTGTCAAATATTTTGTTAAGCGGTTTTATGAAACTTTGACATCAACTTTCCATTACAGATGAGAACTAACTATATATCTTAGTATTAACTACATTAGATATTTTTCATAAAGTTGGAGGAAATCCATTTAAGAAAAAGTATTGGCTTTATATCTTCTTTTTCTTTTCTCTTAAGAATTCAGAAAGAACTTGCAGAAATTACATTAGACCCTCCTCCAAACTGTAGGTAAGTTTACATGGATTTTATTAATTTGAAATGCATATGGAAATTACATAGAGGACCAGAGGTAAATTTCAGTTTTTCCTTCAAGGTAAATACTTAATTTGGTGATTTTTGACATAAAGGACTGTAGATACCATTGTTTGTCGATGCAAAAATTTGTTATCACTTAAATGATAGCAGTGGTGATCAGGAGAGGTTTGCTAAAAATACAGCACTAATGAAATGTAGTTATTAGATACAGGATAAAAGTCAGATCAGTAGCATTTTGTTTACAATCCTGGAAAATATCTTTTTGGTGAAAGTTATTAGTGTGTTTGACTCTTTTCCTTACAAATTGATAACTTTGAGAAAAATGTTAAGTACAAATATTGCAGAACTTGGTCTTTTTCCTTTTTTTTTATTTTTTTTATTTTTAATTTTATTTCAGAGGAAACTTAATGAAGTGGAGTTGGCTATCAAACATTTTTTATGACTTTATGCTTTGCCTTTCTGTCAGTTATGTTTATTTATGGAGAGTTAAAACTTGCTTTAAAATTAGTAATGATGTAGGCAAAGAAAACCCTGTTACCTTGTAGCTCAGATTTTGTAAAGTAGTTTTCAGATGGCTGCCCCAGAATTCTTATCTGGCAGCTTGACATAACGGTCATATTGGAATTATGCCAGAGTTGTACAGCAGTACTTAAAGGAGCCCTGGAATAGTACCTCTTGTAATGGGAAGTCAGACTAATAGATGGATGGATAGTTCTCATCCAATTTGGCCAACTGATTTCCAGCGTTGCATGTGATAAGGGTCCAGTCTCTCAAACTTTCTTTTTACAACACTATAGAACAGGGGTCAACAACCTTTCAGAAGTGTTGTGCTGAGTCTTCATTTATTCACTCTAATTTAAGGTTTCGCGTGCCAGTAATACATTTTAATGTTTTTAGAAGGTCTCTTTCTATAAGTCTATAATATATAACTAAACTATTGTTGTATGCAAAGTAAATAAGGTTTTTAAAATGTTTAAGAAGCTTCATTTAAAATTAAATTAAAATGCAGAGCCCTCTGGACCGATGGCCAGGACCCGGGCAGTGTGAGTGCCACTGAAAATCAGCTTGCGTGCTACCTTTGGCACGCGTGCCATAGGTTGCCTACCCCTGCTATAGAAGTAGCTGATGGCATGCAGTTTTTATAATAAAAAGAACAGGAGTACTTGTGGCACCTTAGAGACTAACACATTTATTTGAGCATAAGCTTTCGTGAGCTAAAGCCCACTTCATCAGAGGCATGCAGTGGAAAATACAGTAGGAAGATTATATATATATATACAGAGAACATGAAAAAATGGGTGTTGCCATATCAACTCACATGAGACTAATCGAATAAGGCGGGCTGTTATTAGCAGGAGAAAAAAACTTTTGTAGTGATAATCAGGATGGCCCATTTCAAACAGTTGACAAGGTGAGTAACAGTAGGGGGAAAATTAGCATGGGGAAATAGTTTAGTTTGTGTAATGACTCATTCACTCCCAGTCTTTATTCAAACCTAATTTAATGGTGTCCATTTTGCAAATTAATTCCAGTTCTGCAGTTTCTCGTTGGAGTCTGTTTTTGAAGTGTTTCTGTTGAATAATTGCTACTTTTAGGTCTGTAATAGAGTGACCAGGGAGGTTGAAGTGTTTTCCGACTGGTTTTTGAATGTTGTAATTCTTGACGTCTGATTTGTGTCCATTTATTCTTTTGTGTAGAGACTGTCCGGTTTGGCCAATGTACATGGCAGAGGGTCATTGCTGGCTCATGATGGCATATATCACATTGGTAGATGTGCAGGTGAACGAGCCTCTGATAGTGTGGCTGATGTGATTAGGTCCTATGACAAATCCCAGTACATTTCCGTATCAAATTAACTAAGGAACTGGTAGTAAAAATAACAGTGGGCTTTATTGTTTTGGTCGCTTGACAAAAGTATGTGTGTAAGAAAACGTTATAAGAAGATTTGATATAGTTGTGCTGGATCTCAGGATGTAATTCAGGTAGTTACATATGAAAGTACTGTGCAGGGAAGTGGCCTTGCAATAATAGTGTTCAAAGAGTATTTCAGTCAATTAGGATGAACATTGCTTTGCTAGATAAAACATTTTAATAGCTAAGCTGTTCTGTCATACTTATGACTGTGAGTCTTCAGTCACATCAAAGCTGTTTCAAATGGCAGGTCTTTACTTGGGTGTTGATAACTGCTTATTAGTGGACTGATTTGCTGAGGTAAATATAAAATTCCAGTCTACACAAAAATGCATAAATGAAGAAAGAGCACTTTGAACTGAATCTAAAAGGCTTGCAATTTTTAGAACAGACATATTTGTTTTAGTTTTCTGAATCCTTTCTCTTATAACAAAGCAATCATTTTAGTACACTAGGTACTGCTATATATAATAATTTTTTAAAGCAAGTGTAAAGTCATCACTAATGAGCTTAGTGGAAACCTCTTTTAGCAACTCGTACAGAAAATGTGTGAACTGGGGATTTACTGTTCTCTGAATTTGTTGGACTAATGACAAAGTACCATTGAAATCCAATACATGATGGAGGCAATCTGTCTTGCAAAATGAAAGAATTACATTTAACTTAGTGTCTGGTCCTTCAATGTATTTCGTGTTGTGATCTGGATAGATAATCATTGAGTAACTTTACTATTGGCAAATGTATTTTTATAGTCAATAAGATATCACTTCATTTAGTTTTATACTGTGGTGACAGTCTAGTGGTTTTTTCTAAATTTTACTTATTTTCTATTATATTTAAACATTACAAAATCAATATACCAGCCAGGGATGATTCCTCAATATGATGAAGAAAGATAGGTTGTAAGAGAGTATTTCTTATCCTAAAATACTTGATTTCTTGTAGAAACTCAGCTCATTCTTACAGAACATGTGCTAAAGATAAATATTGAATAGGATATAGATATCAGTTTTCCTCCAAATGGGTCTCAGATGGTTTTTATAAACTGTTTGTACTAATTACCGCTCCAGTCCCAGTCCACATGCAGGTACACTCCCATTGATTTTTTTTTTTCAATGGGAGTTTTACACACATACATGGCAAGATTGGGCTATAGATGTGTGTACACATCTGTTTTTACTTTTTCTAATTCTCTCCCCCCCCACCCCCTCCAAATTCAAATGCAGCCAGGTGTGAAGTGAAACTGTCAACTATTTAACAAGGCATGAGAGCTATATCAAATAGCTTAGGATCTCTAAGTGTAGAATACTTTATACTGATGAAAATAAAGTGATATATTAGGCTAAAGTTACCTGAATTGGAATTTGGCTAGTATTTGGGGGGGTAGGGGATAGGACAGCCCTATTCATATATGAAATGCCATGGGATCTTTGGTTCACCACAGATGGTCAGGACCTTGATTTTTATGTCACATCCAAAAACCCGCTAGTACAATAGTGCCCCTTTAAGCTATGATAGGGTAGAGTCTCAGTATTAATTCAGGAGGAAGAGCACCACCAACCAAATTGCTAAGACCACTTCATTTGCAAGCCTAAACTTATTTAAACTTACATAGCATATTTGTGAAAATCTGCTTGTTTTAGAGAAACCTATGTTACTGACATATATGTGTGCCTGGATAATTAGCAGACAATTACTGTGGCAACTTGAAACATTTCTTTCCAAAACTGAGAAATTTAGTCAGTTTTGTGCATATGAAAATCTGAGAGCAATAGGAGTTGGTGATTTCAGATAGCTTTGTGAGTCATAGAAGTACAGAAAGTTGCTTTCAAAACTGAAATTCCACAGTATATGGACTACCATGGCCTTTGGGTATTTTAGCAACAAGACATTTAAAATGAGTTATTTTGTGTGATATAGTTTACTGCTTGTGAGCACTTACAAATTTAAAATTCTATTAGATTTTTTTACATGGGAATGTGTGATGTTATATCCAGCAGTCCTTACCCAGGGCAAAAGTCTTTTTTATGTCAGAGAATTTGTGCTGGTGAGAACATGGGTATAGATAAGCTCTTGCATGTACACATCAGACATAAAAGCAATGGATTTCGGAGGTCCTGTAAAGGTGGATTTAGGAGAATATGAAACCTAAGTTCCATGCTTTAATAGGTATTAGTGTATTCTATATTCAGTGGGCCTTGGTTCAGTCCTATGGAAAGAATCCCACTCACCTTAATAAACTTTGGATCATACCCTGTGTGTGTGTGTAATATACCAAATGTCTTGGGTAGTAACCAAAGCCAAGCTGGGGGGAGGGGAAAGTGTGCCATCATTACCATTTACAAAGAGCAGTATCTCATGAAGAATCTGGTATATTGCCTTGTCAGTACCAAAAACTGAAAGTTTCTTTTGGGCCCTTGTTCTCCCCTTGAGAGGGGGATAGCTCAGTGGTTTGAGCATTGGCCTGCTAAACCCAGGGTTGTGAGTTCAATCCTTGAGGGGGCCACTTAGGGATCTGGGGCAAAATCAGTACTTGGTCCTGCTAGTGAAGGCAGGGGGCTAGACTCAATGACCTTTCGGGGTCCCTTCCAGTTCTATGAGATAGGTATATCTCCATATATTGTGCAGAATGTGAATTACTATCAAGGCAAGTCGTGTAAGTAGAACAGAGACTATGGATCTCTGTATTTTAGAGGCCTAAACACTTTTAAGATTTCATTACAAAGTTTGAATACTTAAAAAAAGAAAAGAAAAGAAAAAAAAAGGGGGGGGGGAATCTCTACATTTTGGTTTATATTTTTTCCCCTACAGATAAATCTTAATTCCTGGTAATACTGCCTGCAGTAGATATTGTAACAAGCTAGGGCAGTGCTCAAACTTCTCACACGTTAAATTTAAGATTTTATATATCTGTTGTATAGAAAACAAACAATCCCCACCTTCTCTAATTTTTACATAGTTTAGACCGTCTTCTTAGTAGGACAGCATCTCATGGAACACCTCTTACCTATTCCTGATCATGTAGATCACCTACCCCTCCCCCTGACAATAGAATAACATCT